TGATCCCAGGGTCCTGGGATCGAGCCCCGCATCGGGCTCCCTGCTCAGCGGGGAGTCTGCTTCTCCCTCTCCCACTTCCCCTGCTTGTGTTCCTTCTCTCGCTGTGTCTCTCTCTGTCAAATAAGTAAATAAAAATCTTTAAAAAAATAAATAAGTAAATTTAAAACATGGATGGGATCAGGACCTTTGCATGTGCAACTTACTTCCTATTACTGACTACTCTTTCCATGCATTTTTCACATGGAGGGGTCCTTCACATCTAGCAAGAAATGCCACTTTCTGTGAGATCCCTACCTATCTTAAGTAGGTGCTCCTCTACTATTCTTCTATCTGACCTCCTTATTTTATAGCATTTATCACAATTGTTAATTTCTTATTTGTATCAGTCTACTCCACAGAAGTGTAAGCTTCACGAGACATGGGACAAAATATATCCTACCTTTCATTGTATTCACAGCACCTAACCTAACCAATAAATATTTTTTTTTTTTAAAGATTTTATTTATTTATTTGACAGAGAGAGACAGCGAGAGCAGGAACACAAGCAGGGGGAATGGGAGAGGGAGAAGCAGGCTTCCCGCTGAGCAGGGAGCCCGATGCGGGGCTCGATCCCAGGACCCTGGGATCATGACCTGAGCCGAAGGCAGACGCTTAACGACTGAGCCACCCAGGCGCCCACCAATAAATATTATTGAATGAATTTCCTATTTAGGCAGGACATATTTTTTTTGGAACACACATAATTTTTAAATCCTAAGACAAAAATAAAAGGTCCCTGAATTTGCAGACTAGAACAATAACCTAGATGGCTCAAGTCTTACCTTAACTATAAGCTAGCTGTGACATTTTGCAAGTCTCTTAAAATTTCGGGGCCTCAGATGTCATATAATTTGAAAGACAAGGAGGCTGAATCAAATGAGCTCTTAAGATTCTGCATGGCTCTAAGAGTTTTGATTCTATAACATATATTTTTAAGTATTAGGTGATAATGGCACAAAACAACACAAAATTGAATAATCATTCACTTTTTGAAAGTCAAGCCAAGCATTAAAACCAATAGTAATATTACTTGCTCTTCATGCCATTGAGTCATAAATAACATATGCTTCGCGCACTTTCCCATAAACTAGCTTTCTAATACAGTAGTCAAGGATCATAAATCAGGAGAAGATTGATATTATTTCCATTTGAATAAATATGCTTTGGAAGTAATGAGTAAAGTTATGTATACTAGAGTGCCACTCTGTGTTGTATTAAAATTATATCATTTCAAGGGGTTGGTTTTATTCCTTTTACTCTATTTTTTTTAAATATAATTCTACAACAGCTACATTTCCATTGAGACCTGCATCATTTATATAAGTTAAAACTCGACTCCTTAGTTTGAATTTAATGTCACATAAAAAACATTCTTTAAGTTTATTTTTCACTTTAGATAATTCAATTATAGGAATCAAAGTTATCAAGTGATTTCTTACATAATTTATTTTTTCCCTGTTACTATAAAATGTTTTAGAGCCATTTATGTTAAACTCAAATTTAAGGTTTTAACTTTAGCTCCTTATTATATGTATTTCAACAGAACCACTAATGCTTTCTGTTAGGTAAAAATTCAGTATAATTGCAGTAATTTAAGAGTATAAATATCTAACTTATAGGATACTTTTAGCATTTGTTAAGAACTGTAGTTCTGTTTTCTTGTTTTATTACTTCCAATTAACGGTATACGAAGCTAAAAAAGTATTGCCCAGTAAAAAAATTGTAAATCTATTTCTAAAACTAGATTAAAATTGCTTTCAATTATATAAGTGTATTTAAATATGTATGTAGATTTATACACATACATATACCAAAAAAAGGAAATGTTTATGAATTATTAAGAAACTGAAATGCACATTTTCACTAGAAAATAATTTCAAGTTATTTGTTTAGCAAAATATTTTAACATATAAGTCAAAGACAAACTTCAACCCTACTAATAACTAAATTAATGAGATTTCACAATTACTGCTTAGTTATATAAATGTACTTAACATTTTCAAGATTATGCCATGAAGCTAACAATAAAAACATCACAATAACAAAGGGTTAACAGAATTTGGGTTAAACAGGACTCATCCCCTGAACTGCTTGACACATCCCTTCTAACTTACTCTCATAAGAACACTTAAAATAATAAGCTCAAGCTGTGATTAAAAAGACATATGCTTTGGCGTCAGGAACTCATGCATTTTTTTACCACTGACTAGGTATGTAATTGTAATTTTTTAAAATTCTCTAAGTCACACAGGTAAAATACAGGCAAATATACAAAAGGCAAATTGAAGATAACATTCAATGTGGTAATATATAGAAAACATCCAGATGACATGGGGAACAGAGTAAGAACTCAATAAATGTTATTTCCCACATACCTACCACCCTTTAAGCCCCCCTCCTATACCCCCATTCTCATTTCCTGATAAATATAAATAGATGTAGGAGAGTGGATCACATTTATTATGCAGATGAAGAGAGAGTCAAAGATTTGAGTCAAGAAAATATAGCAAAAAATCAAAGAATCTCATAATTTCTAGATTAAGATAACACTTAAAAGATTGTCTCCTCCAACAACGTATAGTCAGACATGCTAGTGAGAGGGTCAGCCATCTAATGGTCTTTCTTAATACCCACTAAATTTTAAAACAGGAGTCATTTATAATGTATGCATTTACAAAACTGTAAAAAGTAAAACTACTTGGTCATCTGTTAACATGTGAAGAAATTATTCCCAAACACAGAAAAGCAAAATATAATTATTTTTTTGAATTTCATATGTGCAATGGTTGATAAATTTTATTTTTATGATCCAAATAGAATCTTCTGTTGATGCAATACTGAAATTTTCCAGATTTATTAAGGGAATGCCCAGAGCAACTCACATTTTCCTGTTCTCATCTTTAAAAAGCTCATAGATTCCAATATAATATTTAATGCCAAGTTATAATAAGGAGTCATAGTATAAGTGGGAGAGGTAGGCCTCTAATATTCTGAGCTGTGTAATAGAATAGATGGTGTTGCCATTCACTGAAATAAGGAATACTAAGAATGAACTACGTTGAATTGGGTTGAGCTGTATTGAGATTTTTAATTCAGTCTTAGACATGGGAAATTTAGGGTACTTCTAAGACATCCAAGCAGTCATGTTAAGTAGGCAATTGACCACATGGCCATTGAGTTCAGAGGGAAAATCTGAGCAAGAGTAATAAATGTGTGTCATCTTCAGGAAACCACCTAGAGAGAGAATACAGAGAGGGGAGTAAAAAAGCCTAGGGCCATTCCTCAAATAACTCCAAAATGGATTGGCTTAGTGGAGGAGAATGAGTTTATAAAGGAGTAGCCACAAAGACAAGCAAAAGATCCGGTCCCAACTACAAGGGAAAAGAAGAAACATGTAGTCAACAAAATCAGATACTGAGAGGAGGTCACGTAAAATACTTGTTAAACTTAGCAATGTATAGGTCACTGGAGATCTTACAGGTATCTATTCCAATGGTGATGGGGCAGAAGCTAGATATATGTGGGTTGAGAACTAAGTGGGAGTTGAAGAAATGAGCGACTATAGGGGCGCCTGGGTGGCTCAGTCATTAAGCGTCTGCCTTCGGCTCAGGTCATGATCCCAGGGTCCTGGGATCGAGCCCCGCATCGGGCTCCCTGCTCGGCAGGAAGCCTGCTTCTCCCCCTGCTTGTGTTCCCTCTCTCGCTGTGTCTCTGTCAAATAAATAAGTAAAATCTTTAAAAAAAAAAAGAAATGAGCGACTATAATTGCTCTTAGAACAAGTATGACTGAAAAAACAGAAGACAAAGGCAGTTGGGGGAAAATATGAATACAGAAGGGTTATCTGGGGTAGAAATTGTTTTTAAGAGACAAGACATAAGCATATTTAAAAAGTGAGCACTGGACCCAATTAAGAAGAAAAGATGAACATAATATGCTAAATAATGTAAAATTTCTGAGAAAGTATGAGATGAGAAGGTACAAAAAACGTGCCCAAGAAGTAGACTTAGGACAAGGAGCAGTTCCTCTACGGAAGCAAGTACAGAGAATGGGTACAAATGCAGTGGATGTGCCTACCTAGTCATAGAAAATAACAGCATTGCCACCTGATGATTCTAATTTTTTCTGTAATGTAGAAGAGGTCCATCTGCTGTCTATAATGGGGGAGATGAGAGGATCAGAGACTTGAGAGAAGTGGAGAATATTTGAGAAGTTACGTAGAAAGAGCAAGTACAGACCAGAGAAATCCGACACATCACAATTTCCTTAAGAATCTTGCTAAACCAAGCCAATTATGAGAGAATGATAGCAAGAAATTCATACGCTCCAGTCAGTAGAGAAACCATACTAGTTATACCTGTTGGAGATGCAAACAATAACCAAAGCCAAAATATTAATTTTAAATTATAGATCAAAATGTAAACGTTAAAACAGCAGCAAACATAATTAGTGAAAACAACAGTATCCCCACCCAAGTAAGAGGATCCAGTAGGATATTACAGATCCAGAAGTCAGGAAGAAAAATGACAGTAAGACAAAACAGCACAGCAAATCTTAAAGGGATTTTTACAAGTGAAGCAGACTGCTATTTTCTCTAAGTGTGTTTGCTTCCTTCTAACACAAAGAAGCCAATTTTAGATAACACTGATCTGCCACTTTCTCAACAAGGAATGCCCAGTGAATCTGGTGGACACTGATGAGGGGAATAAAGACAACTTTTAACAGGATTTTTCAGAAAACAGTTCAAACTGTTAAAAAACTGAGACATGATCAGTACACTATATTGACAAAACCCAGATCATTTTTCCAGAGTCCTAGAAAGTAACTCAATGACATTAAGTTTTACACTTAAAATGAAATTTCAGCTTTTAGAAAATACATCCATGATAACATGTAACTGAAGCATTCTGTAAAATTAAATCAATTAAACTTTCTTCCTGCAAATTATTTTTGTTTTACTCACTCAGACTTCTTTTCATAGGTCTTAGAAGATTCCTCAATTCTCTTCTCTAGCTCCAAGACAGCCTCCTCCTTGTTTAAAAGCATCTGCTGTGTCTGCATAAGTTCCTCTGCTAAAGTTTTCAACCTAGAATGAACAGTTTCCTCATTATAAATCAGTAAGTTAGTTATATTCACTTCATGCACACACCCTGAGCATTCATACATCTAAGATGGTGATGTCCAAAACGGTAGCCACATGTAATTTAATTTAATTAAGATAAAATAAAATTTCAGTCCCTTAAGTAAGGGACCCTTAACCACATTTCAACTGCTAGACACATGTAGCTAGTGGCAACCTTATTGGACAGTCCAGAAAAGAATATTTCAATAATCACAGGTAGTATTTCAGGGCAGTCTAAGAGTCTGAGTCATTAAATAGAAAAAGAGAAACAGAAAATTAAAAAAGAAGGGATTTAAGCAAATAAATACCTGTACTGTCCCAGGAGGAGTGTATAGTGAAAAGACCATGGTTTTTGTTTTCTGACAAACATATATTTACATTTTGACTTTGCCACTTTTTACGAGATGCTGGGCAGGCTGCGTAAGCTCATTAAATCTATTTTCTCACTTGTAATTTGAGTGCAGTAATACCTGCTTCAACACACTGTTTTGAGGATTATATAAACTAATGCATATATATTGACTGGCACTTAGTAGGTACTGAGTAAATGGTATTTAGTATTGTTTGCATATGTTATCTCATTTAATTCTCACAACAACCAATGAGATAGATACTATTATCCATATTTTAAAAAAAGAAAGTGAGGCTCAGTTGAATGGCAATTTAAATGGACAGTAAGCTATTTCTTTTCATACAGTATAATAATGCTTTACAGGTATTTTCCACATAGATATTAACAATTAAATACACGAAATTAACAGGTATATATAGATCAGATAATTTTTGGTTGCATAAAATGCACTTGGTCCTGAATAGAAATATTCCTACCACAAAACACACACAGCTATCATATCACATTAAAATTTTTATCTTTCAGCTAGTGCTGTCCTTTCTTTACTTGTTATTTTCACTATGGAAAGGAAGAATGAGGTGAAAGCCAGAGTCCCCATCCACTGCTACAACGGGCAAGTTTAAACTACCTTAGACCCCATTCATCACTGGCACTTCTAGCAAAGTATATTAAAATCCAAACCTAATATTTTCTACTTCCTTTAGTAATCATTTAGCCTCCTGAAAAATAACACCAAAAACTTTCAATGAGAAATTAAATTTGAGGCTTTTTATATGCTAAATTATTTGAGTACACATCAGCTCAATTGCGAGAAGAATGGGGGGATCCTTATGATTTCTTTTCAAATTCCTTATTTGTGCTATAACAACTTTAACTCAGAAAGAGAGAAACCTACCACAGCTTACTAGATTCTCTAAAGGCCTAGAAGAGCTAACAAAACTTCTGTTCCCTGGCAGGTCTGTTCTGTTAGCTAGAATTCACCACCTATTACACTTAGCAATGAAGGTCCCAAGGCCCAAGGAAGAAAGAAAGGACATTAAAAGTAAGGAAAAGAGGAGATGAGAGGGAACAGAAAAATAGTATTAGTCGCCCCTACTTTTTCTAGCTCCTGATCATGTCAAGAAATTGGTACGTCTTCTTAAGGCTTGACTGCCTTAGCTAGCACAAACAAAGCATAACTGATCTTTATGCAAAGTCTTCTTAAATTAAAAAGAAAAAACAACTAAGTAAATCTTCGAAGTCAAACTTTTTAATATTTCTAAATCTCTAAAGATCCCTGGTTGTAAATTCAAAGTGGAAAAGACAAATGATTTAGAATAATGGAATTATGTGGGGAAAGTATTTTCTCTTCTTTACCACCATCCCCCTAAAAAAAAAACAAAAAAACAAAAAAAAACTGGAGCCAGTGAAGAGGAAAACACTCTCGTAATTACAGTTTATGTATAGATGACATAATACATGTTAGGATAGTTTGCAAATTTCAAAGCACTATTCACCATTGTTTGTACGCAAATGTAATAGTAACAGTTCAAATGTCTTATTCTTTACATTTTTAAATTAAATATGTTACACTTAAATAATTTGATGCAAAACAGTTAAATGTCATGAGACTGCCTTAAAAAAACTCCATAAAACTGACATAAATACTTAACATTTACTGAATGCCAACCAGTTCTAAACACTTTATAAATAAGCGCTTAAATCCATAACATTTTTATAAAAATATTATTATCTCCATCTACATATGAGAAACTGAGGCACAGAGATTAAGGGTCTTGTCCAAGGTCACAGAGCTGGTAAGTGGAAAAACATGTTAGAGCCCAGGCAGCTTAGATCCTGAGTCCATGAACTTAACAACTAATACCCCATTTTAGTAATTTCACCTCATAAAATTTATCTCATATATATGTTTCAACAAGTACACAAAGATATTTATTGAAAGACTGCTTGTAATCAGAATAACCAAAGGTGAACTCACTGTGATGCTGATGACCCTTAACCTTCAGGCACCACACTTACAAGATCTCTTCCCAGACTCTGCACTTACTTTCATATTTGTATGTCACTATAGTTTTTCTTAAAGATGCCACACACACACACACACACACACACACACACCAAATCTATAAGCTTCAGCCTCTATAAAACCTGTATCCATCCCTAGCAATAGGAAAAAACTGGAAATAAATTCCCATCTATAAATAACTACATTAAATAAATTTTATTACATGTAAGCATTAAAACACTGTACACTATAAATATTTCATATATATTAAAAAAGAGGATAATGCAAAAAAGTATGCATAGAATAAGCCCATTTAAGTCAAGAAAACAATTTATATACATGGATATGCTTGTATATACATTCTGGAAAGATACACGCACTTTTTTCACCAATTAACACAGGAAAGTACAAATGGGATCTATAAAAAGGAAAGCTTTGATTTCCACTGTACCCCCTTTTGTAAGATTTCATGGATTTTATCATCTGCAAGCATTAGCTGGATAATTTTTAAAGACTTAATGTTATTTAAAAACACAAAAGCCAAAAACAATTGTAGATAGTAATAAGTTTTCAGTACTTATATAGAAACTTTTCTATCCTCAAACCATTGGCCATCATTATCTAAATCTTATAGCACTCTTGCAGAAATGTAACTTCCTAAAAATCTATACATTATAAACTTCCAATACTGTCACACTCATTGTGACATTTGGGCTAATCAAAAAAATTAAAAAACAGAAAAGGGTTACAGTTGCCTCAAGTAATTTTTCTGACATCTCTTTTTCTCTATGACTGCAACATAAATTGAAGAAATAAAAATTTCTTATGATCTCTTTCTTAAAATATAATTGCAGCAGCATAACAATTTATGGGTGACCTTCTATACCATGACACAAATCTTTATTAGCTTTCTCAAGATTAAACAGAAAATAGCTCCTAATCAACCAAACAAAAGTTATGAGTTTCTACTAAATATATTTATCTCCTAACACACAACCTAATCCAACCCAACCAACAAATCCAGCTGCCTTCTTCTATGTGATTTCTTTATGTCTCTTAATCACAATATCCTTTTAACATGTCACCTGCCTTCTAATATTTTACATATTTCCAAATCTTTCCCAGTCACTCATTCAAACCAAACACCAAACTTGAACTAAGAATATAAATGATAACAGCAAAAAACAAACTTGATAAAACGACAGTCCTACTTAAAACGTGAGAGTACTGCATTATTTATTGTTCCATTGATTGACAAGGTTGATTCAGACAGCCTAATGGGTTAAATTGGCATCATTCCCTACAACAGGAGTAAGCAAACATTTTCTGTAAAGGTCTGGAAAATAAGTATTTTAGGCTTTGCCATCAAGAGACAAAATCAAGGATATTACATAGGTACTAACATAACAAAGAGAAAACAAATACAAATATCTTATTGAAAAATTAAAAATATAATAATAATTGGGTACAATTCATCGTAACACCGGTGTATTAATGAGGACAGAAATCTTTTGAAGGTAATAATTTTTCCCTTCATTGGGGTTCAAAGTTAGTGCTCATCATCAAAATCAAATGTAAATGTTCATTTGTTAAAGCAGATATATAATGAGATTTCATGTATTTCATCTTTGAAAGGATCTTTTCACATAGATAGATACTGCCAAATATCAATAATAATCATAAGCATATGACTTTAATTGAGTATATTTATAGCTTAGAAGGCATTTATAAGATGACATTGCATGCTTTTTAGCATGTCATTACATTGCAGACTCATCACTCCTAACTGAAAGTTAGGTGGGCACTCCTTAATTGCACAGTTGAATGGATTTTTGAAATGCCGAAATACTTGTACAGAGGTCCAAAACTCACTATTAGAAATATAGTTTGAGCTTAGAAAACACATCAGCTACAAGTTTGGTGGGAATGGTAATGTTGCTTCATGTTTTAATGTTTGACGGCACAGGAAATACATACAATAGCCTGCCATTACCTGGGATTCAAGTAACATTAGTTGTCATCTAAATGATTTTACTACAGTATAAATTCTGCATATAAGCACGTATTATCTTGTAATTTTAGGTTGAATATATTAGGAAAATATTCAAGTCTTTAGCACAAGCTAATTTTTCTGAAGCTTTTGGAATTCAGTGTTGAATAACGGTGGTTGAGGGAAATTCTGATTTAGAAAAATCTCAGTCTTGGCTCTGACCTCAAAAAAAAAAAAATAAAACTTTACTACTTCTAACTCATCAGAATCCTATGTGATAGGGCAAGTGGGGATATTCAATTTCAATTTTTGACAAAAAATTCATGGAACTAATGATGGTCAAGTCCTTGAGAGCAAATGAAGGCCATTACTGACATTATTAGTTTAAGAACACATGATTAGATTCAAATTTTTCCATGAAGTGCCTCCTTATGAAAAATACAATGAATAATCATACTAAGTAAACACCTAACATTTTCAAAAGCTTTGTAAATTTGTTCAACTAAGCCTCTTTCTAATCCACACATTTTTAACACCATCATTTGTAACACTTCAGTTTGTACTGAATTAGTGTTTTCTCGATCTCTTTGAAAATATTCTTGTCTGTAGTTGAGCCA